ACAAACTTATGATTAGCTGGAAGAAAGCCATTTAAAAAACAAGGAAACACAACAAAATAAAACAAGAACCAGTAACCCATTCAAGACTAATGCCAAAGAAGCTAAGGAAAAAGTGGGGTAGACCTTTGCAACAGATGTGTCTGTGAGAAAACTAACAGAAAAAAATTATGGTGTCCAAACTGATAAATCAGATAGAAATAATAATCACGCACATAAAACTGGTAGAAATGCAGGTCAAACCACTAGAGAAAGTATTTGTCATGGTACTGTACAGTAAAAGCTGTATAAAGACCTTGTCTCTGTCTGAAAGAGATGTAATGTTGACGCTGAAAAGTAGCAAGAGCAATGCCTAAAGTCTTTAAAGAATTCAATATGAATTTGGAAATGCAAACATTGACCAGTGTGTTGTTAGCAATTGTAAAGCATGCTAAACTTTGCTTTCCACAAATGTGCAAATGATAAATGCATCTTACATGAGACTGAGGTATTTGGAAAGTTTAAAAACAAAGCCAGACAGGAATAAATTAGAAATGACATCCAGAAATATTGTATCTGCCTTTTTATTTGTGCTTAATGAAATGTGTTTTGTCATATTCAATAATTTTTAAATTAGAGTGTAGAATTTCAATTAAGATTTGATGTAGTTGTGGTAAAAGGAATAGTATTTATCTGATCCAAAAAATAATTTAGCAGACTGTTGCTCTTTCTTTTATCTCCTGAACGCAGAATATTAGAAATGATTAGATATCTGTCTGTGCTTGCAAAGAAGATCCCTTTGCCAATGTTGAGTAAGCTTCACTTGCTATTTAGAACAATTTATGCATTTAAAATGCAGCACCGTGGCTTAGAAGTTCGTAGAATCATTATATCATCTTATCCTTGATGTTCCATGGTTTGATTTCTGCAGCTTGCGGTTTAGAAAAAGAACATTCTTGTGGCTTTCAGACAGTTGTACATGAGTTGCACCATAGAAGCTATGAGAGAGTCTCATCATGTAACACTTCTAAAGACAGCAGTGGATGCACTATAGCTAACCTCTTTTGTAGAGCAGGCACACACAGAAAAACACTTTAAGTAAAAAGAACTATTTGTAAAAAGCAAAAGTAATCCAATAGCAGATACTGTCACTGGTGTGTGAAGTATTAGGCATGCTAAGCCACAGCATATAAAAACAAGACCCCTATAACAGGCTCTTCATCTACAGTCACTGTTCCCTGCCCTTATTGTCCTGTTTCGCCCCCCCCCCCCCCTTTTTCCCCCACTTTTCTGGCCCATATTGAGCTAATAAGTTACCTCTGACCCCACAGACAATCAACTATAGTTTCATGACGGATGAAAGAAAGAGTGGTCTTCATCACTTGAATGTTGAATTAAGAATTAAAATCACAGCACAGAAGTACTCCATCCCCATCTTCAGCAGCAAGTGAAGAGTTCCATTTCTCATGGTATTGCTAACTGACTGATGTATATCCATCTTGCCTTTCCCTTGAGTGTTGAGCATCGGCCAGATGTCCTAGTAACTCCTCGCTTTGCCATTTTCATCAGACGGTAATGATCTATTTGTGTCTCCACATTGCTCACTCACAACCAATAAGGCCCTGACAACATCTAGCTTGTCATACATCATTTTGCCACCAAGTGGTGCAGAACTGGCAAGTCTATCTGCTTGCTTGTTTCCCAACCCACTGGCATAACCTGGAAAAAATATCCAAAGGGTGCTAACTATCCGAGAACTCTGAAGCAATGCTTGCCAGCCTGCATGGAGCAGGCTGTCTCCAACTTTTTTAATAAACTCTGTGAGTCACTTACTATTACGACGTGTGTACACCTGATTCTGAAGCCAGTGAAAGGCAGCAGTGACTGCCTCCACCTCAATTCTCATGCTAGGCTATTTGATATCTAATGCCAGGCTTTGTTGCACTAAGCAACATCCATTTGTTTTTGCTACAAACCTTCTATGCACCATCTGTATAAATAATCACATCACTTGGGTGGGAATTGTCATGAATCATTTGTTGAACTTTTGATTCTGTAGCACCAGCTGGCCAGTCCCTGTACTCACAGCCTTTAGTGATGAGAACATTACACAAGTCTGAAATTTGTTCGGACACCTTGACCCACTCCTCTCCTCACTCAAAATTATCAAGCCTGCACACATGTCTGATTGTGTTTTCAGCTTGCACCATCCAAAACCTTCCTCTTTTCAGTTTGTGACCCTTAGCTCTGCCTATAGCTTCTTTTCTGCAGCTACTCTGAGAAATGACTCTCCTTGAAGAATTTTGAGCTTATCTGCAATAGTAGGCAGTGCAAGCATATATCACAAACATACTACCGGGTAAGCATTCCAGGTCCATAATCTATCACCAATAGGATCACATGCTGGAACATTGTGAACAGCATTCTTTGTTCCATGTCCATTGCTGCCATAATCTTGAGAGAATTTAGTCCTTTTTGGCATTTCACTGCAACTGCTTCCACATAATCCCTATAAGACAGGTCTTTATCAAAAGTGATACCCAGGTACCTCAGTTTGCTTTCTCTTTTGATGTTACTGTTTTTAATTGTGAGGCATGCAACATTAGCTCTTACAATTCTATTGTCCAGAGAGCACCACAAAACAGCCGCCTTTTTGAGTTTATGACAGCACCCATTTCTGCACACCAGTCTGTCAATTTGTCTAGTTACCTACAGCTCTTGGGCTATCTGTTGTCTATCACTCCCTTGCCAATATGCAAAAACATCATTAGCAAATGTCAATATTATTCATTCACCGGGCGCTTCAAGTTCTACAGTCTTGTTTGTATACACATTAAAGAGCACTGGTGAAATTGCAGAACCCTGGGGTAGTCCCAGGGCTATATTACATGGCCCTGAGGTCCATGTACCCAGGCAAAGGGCAATTATACGTGTATAAAGGACAGCTGCTGTCCAGCTCACCAGCCAGGAACAAACCCTAATGAGCACATATATCAAAATATCATATCTGACTCAAGATCATGTGCCACCGCTACCATCTTCTGTCTGTTCTGGAACCTCTCACAAACATCAAAAGGAGAAATGGCTGCATTTGACCAGGTATCTTTCTGTGGCTGGTAACTACCCAAACATTTTGGCAGGAGCTCTTCTCTTTCCATAAACATTTGTAGTTTAACAGCAATAATTTTCTCTAGCATCTTGCCAAAAGCATTTTGTAGGGTGATAATCCTGAAACCATTGAGTTCTGGAATGATCTTTGCTTGGTTTTGGAAGTGGGATTATGTAGCTGTGTACCCTGTCCTGTGGTACTCAGGCTGTTCTGATTGCCCCGGATGTGGTGAAAAGCCATCTTTTATAATAATGCACAGATTATCAATGTTTTCCCTTTCTGTTGTCAATGGCATACCAATATAAGTGTATATAATGCCTGTTGTAATTGACCGATCCTTCCTTTGCGTCTGTCTGTGAAGTTTCCAAAACCTACACAGTGATTTAACCCCTCAAATTTTGCTCATAAATTTTCCCATTTAACCTTTTTTTGCATTTGCTGCACACCTCTTAAACTCTTCTGCTTTTTCTTTTCTTACTTTTTTTAGCCTCTCTATATCCTTTTGTAACCTGTGAGATGTCTTTCCAATTTCCTGTAATTTCTCAACTGCTGCTCACTTTGCTCTCCATGCCTATTCTACTTCTTAGGTCTACAATGGAGGCCGCACAAAGGCGTCCAGGAAGGATACTGACCCTCTCATACCTAACAGTCTTGTGCATTTTTACAGCCATGATCTTGCTAGCTTTAGAAATCAAGGCTGAGCATGGCATATGGTCCACTCCTATGATAGCCTAAGACACTCATTTTGTGTCCATCACTGCTGACTAGGTAACAAAGGCCAAATCAGTAGTCATGTCTGCATCACCATCTTGTTGCCATTCTAGTTGGCCTACTGTTGTTTTCTAAGACTATGTCTGCTTTTACCATAACCTCTGCTAAAGCGTTTAATTGTCTATTTTCCCCAGTATTGTCCCATGCTCTCTGTTCCACACATTGAAATCCCCACAAATGAAAAGCCTATTACCAGGGATTTCCTCCAACTCTTTAAGCCAGTCTCAAAGTTCTTTTTTTTTACAAGAGGGTCAGCAGCAGCGTAAACATTTACTAAATTCCAGGTTGTGCCCCCATTATCTATCTGTATGCCCTTAAGTTCTATTGTACCATGATTCCACTGGCCTAGGTCAAGAACCACATGCTTCACCCCATTCTTCACCAGCAGGCACTGCCCATGTCTTTCCTGTCCGGTATGATTTATATAACTTATGTATTCAGGACACTATATCTATCTCATAACCTTCTCTGCTTCTCTTTGCTTCATCACTTGTGATGGGCTAACAACTGTGAAAACCAAGTTATTGTGCAAATTTTTAGGTTCCTATTTTTATGAAGTTAGGTTCAACTCTAGAGCTGTACGGGTTGTAAATATTTCTTGCCACTTCTGGGAATTATAAACCCAGACTACTGTCTCGGCAGAAAAGTGTATGAACAACTATGCCACCATGCTTCTTGAGTTATGTGTAATCATATTTTCTCCTAGTCCTTATTTAATTTTATTAAACCTTAAATACTAAATGTATTTATCAAAATTACTGTACCTAATACTATAGATGGTTGTTAGAATATTACAAGAAGATACTTGTAAATGTTTTGAGAATATATGTTTTAATAAATTCAGCAGAAATAAAGATCCCACAAAAACTTAATATGTAATGTATCAGTTATTCTCCACTTAACAGTTTAATTCAGGGTTACTGTTATTTCCAGATTAGTTTTTTGTTGTTGAAATTTTTTGCATGGAGTTATTTGTTTGTGCATTTTTGTCTTTAAATATGCAGTATGATTTATTCTTGTAAATAAAATGTTTGCACATATATTTCTTGGCTTAATAATCTTATAAGTAATAATTGTAAACAGACTCAGGCTTGTACACTAGTTATTTATTATGTTTCAGTATGTTTATCAAACTAATCCACAGACATGGGAAGGCAGAACGGGGACAGTAGAAATGATAAGGATGAGGCTATTTAGTTATTCATGTCAACAAGAAATTTAAAAAATAGCAGTTATTTAATAAGAGAATACTAACATGTAACTAAAATACATATCTACTGATATGATATTTTGTTTTACAATTAGTAAGTAAAACAGTAATAAATTAAACACTATAAATGTAGGGCAGGATTTGTATTTGTATATTTTCAGATATGGAGTCTTTGTAGCATAATGATTAACACGCCTGCTATTTGGTATGGTCATTCTGGATTCCATTTTCCCTTGGAAATAGATTTTTCATAACTACATGGTTCCAGGGTTTACACAGTATCCTGTAAATATATCAATAATGGCAAATGCAAGTTCAGCAGCATTTGTTATGGTAGAGTACAGCATTGGTCACATAATACACCTTAGACCTTTTAATTCAGGAGATATTCTGACTGTCCCGAGTATGGTCATTTTACTAGATTTTTTTCTTTTTTTGCAATAGATTTTTGTAAACTTTATTGTAGGTAAATTGTATGCTGCAGAAAAATCAAATGTATGCTAAAATTGTCAAAAGCATAGTGTACACTTTTTGTTCAGTTTGGTATTTCTTATTTTGAAAAATTTGTCCTCTAATATATATTTATACAGTATTTAATATTATTTTCTGTACTTGCTCAAAAATGCAACTCGTATATAGATATGCAAGTACTTTCATGTCAATAATAAAGACATGTTTTCTTTTCCTTCCTTGGTTAAATAACATATGCTTTTGTGTCAGTTTCTTTTAATTTAGTACCTGATTTTTGGTTTAGATTGATTGTTTTGGTGTTAGTTAACACTTAATAATTTCACATTTTATAGTTTAGTATGTCAGCTATAGACTTTTAGATATCACTTGATATTAATTTAAGTAGTTACAAAATCTTGACATAGGTTTGCTGGCTTATTAGCAACTTATCTTTTCTGTATTGCCAGCTACACATTGAAGTAATTTTGTACACTTAGTTATTTATTATGTTTCAGTTTGTTTATCAAACTAATCCATAGACATAGAAAGGCAGAACAGGGACAATAGAAAGGATAAGAATGAGGCTATTTTGTTATATATGTCAATCAATCAATCAATCAATCTATCAATCAGGTGCCGTCTCCACAATGAAGGTTGGCTGCAATGGATCTCCAACAAGCCCTGTCTCTTGCCCTTGATGTACACTCACTCATACTGCTGTTCGTCCATCTCTTGATGTTAACTTCCCACTTGTAACGCTGTCTGCCTCTTGCTCTCCTACCTTGAACCTCTCCCTCTAGGATGATCTTTACAATACTGTTATGTCTTTTAATGTGACTAAAATATTTCACTTGTCTCTTTTTTATTTCACCTAGCAACTCTCTTTTCATTCCCAATTTCCTCAGTACCTCTGTATTTGATCGCTTTTGTTTCCATGAAATACAACCTAATCTTTTGTATATCCACATCTCGAAAGAATTGATACGATTTTCCAGTTGTTTGTTCATTGTCCATGTCTCTGTGCCATACAGTAAGGTTGATAATACATAACATTTGACAATTCTCATTTTTAATGAATTGCTTATTTCTCTTGATGTCAGTAACTTTTGCATGTTGTTGAAAATGTTTTTGGCCATCCCTATTCTTTTCTTGACTTCTGTTTCACTTCTGCCATCACATGTTATTACTTGTCCAAGATATAAGAAATTTTTAACTTGTTCCAGTTTCACCCCCTTCACTGTGATATTCATTGTTAGCTGATTATTTTCTTTGCTAAATATCATGGTTTTTGTCTTTTTCAAATTTATATCTAATCCAAATTCTGCACTCCTTCTTTTTACTTGCTCCACTAGGTCTTGCAACTCCTGCTCACTCTCTGCTAGCAACACTGTCGTCAGCATATCTCAGATTGTTTATTATTCTACCATTGATGTTCAGTCCTGGTAATTCTACAATTTCTTTAAAAATGGTTTCTGTACATAATTTGAAAAGGCTAGGCGACAGCACACATCCTTGTCTTACTCCTCTCTTGATCTCTATCTGGGGTGAGCAGATGTCATATCTTACTGTTGCTTCTTGCTCCCAGTATAAGTTTCTAATAAGTCTGATATCCTTTTCATCTAGTCCTATGTTTTGAAGAGCTGCAATTAGTTGTTCATGTTGCACTCTGTCAAAAGCATTTTTGTAATCTATAAAACATGCATAAATATTTTTCTGAACTTCTATATATTTTTCAGTCAGCATCTTTAGACAAATTATGGCCCCTCGAGTACCACTGTTTTTACGGAATCCAAATTGCTCTTCAGAAACTTCTTTCTCTATTTTATTTTGAATTCTTGCTTGTATTATCTTCAAGAGTAACTTAGTTACGTGACTCATATGCAAGAACTAAAATAAAAAATAGCAGTTATTTAAAATAAGAATACTAACATGTAACTAAAATACATATCTACTGATATGATATTTTGTTTTACAATTAGTAAGTAAAACAGTAATAGATTAAACACTATAAATGCAGGGCAGGATTTGTATTTGTATATTTTCAGATATGGAGTCTTTGTAGCATAATGATTAACACGCCTGCTATTTGGTATGGTCATTCTGGATTCCATTTTTCCTTGGAAATAGATTTTTCATAACTACATGGTTCCAGGGTTTACACAGTTTCATATAAAAAAGATTTTCTGAGAGTTAGTGCAACTGGAAAGAAAAACAAAATTGTAACATTAAAACATGATGTAAAAACAGTTTTAACACTTTCATACATCTTTTTACCTTTGAACTGGTGTGTTTTGACTATATAAAACATGATAATGACAGAGAAAGAACAGTGTTGAAAGGTATGGATCTTGGGAGAAGAGGCAGGCTGTGATCAGTATGACACTTGAAAGAGGACATAATAAAGATAATTACAACATAAAATGAGGCAGTGAAATTGGAGAAAGACTGAGAACGTTTCTGTCATTCGACAAAATATTTGTTATTTGATGATGATGATGATAATTACCTCTTGAAGCTTGCAGCTCAGAATTTAATATAAGTCATGCAAATATAAAGAGTCTGTTGACATTATCTAACATTTTGTAATGCTTGTGTTTAGCTGTCACAGAGGATGATGAAGACAGAACATTATCATCAGGACTTGGGTTGGATGACATGCTTGATGGTTTTTCCAGTACATCGAAAGTCAACAGTCAGTTTCTAAAAAAAGATTCTCGCTTGTCAGCAGTCAACAACCAAGCACTGATCCAGTACTTTGCTAAACTTGGTCAATCCAAAAATGAAGATGAAGTCATTGATCTGGACTATGTTGATACTTTGCTAGCTTCAGGTGCTGATATCAACTGTATTGACAGACATGGTCAGACTGTTATGCATGAGGTGGGTTTCTATTCTGTGTAGCTTGTTACTTATCATGGTGTTGGTTTGTCAGGTGTCTGAAATCGATAGCTGGGGAAACAGAAGCAGTGGTGAAACTGATCAAAGGAAATTCATACCTGGGTGATATACATAGATGGATCTCTAGAGCATAGTTTAAAAAAAAAAAAAATTAAAAATGTGTGGGATTTCTTAGCAAAAGGAACTGGAATTTATTTTTACAATTTTAAAAAAAAACATTCTTGTGTATCATTTCACAACACCACACGTGAGAATGAAGATGGAAACAGTAACAAACGCTTTGCAATGGTTGAAGAATAGTATGGCCCGACATGTTGTACTTATAAGTGACTCGTAAAGCATGCTTCCAAAAATAGAAGTTGGGGACATGCTTAGAGTGGTTTGAATTGTTTAATAACACACATAAGAAGCATAAATGTGGATTTTTGCTCAGGATATTTGGTGGTACATGGTGGTACAGGCTGATAAATTAGCTGCTGCCTCTGTGGGTGAGAAGCTACTTTATGATGAAGCAGACTGATACAGACCTCTAATCTACCTTGATGTTACCTGGCTCATTGTACAGACCTGTGACAGACAATCTATCCAAAAATACACTTAACTGAACACCCACAGAGCACACACAACAGTCTTTAATGTAAAGCACAGACTAGCAGTCCATACAGGGGTGAGGCAAGGATGTTTGCTGTCTCTCCGGGTATTTAATATAAATATAGATAGAATATCCAAAGAAGTAAGCTTTGAAGCAGTCGACCCAGAAAATTTTGAAAATGAGGAACTTTCCAGAGGACAGTGTTCAACTTGAACACCCACAGTACACATTGTTTCACGGTCAAAGTCATACTAACGTTACTTAACCGTCAAGATGCAACACAATCCTATCACATTCATTTATGACTGCTAGTTACATTTAGTTTACACAAAACAGGAAAACGATGTCAACAAATTATTACAATATAGAGTTCAGAATGATCCAAGTTAAATCTCAGTATCACTATCAACGTTTAAGAGGAGGATTTGATTACGTTGTCACTAATTAAGAGAGCCATCTCAGCAATGCAATCACAAATTGAGAAAAAAAAAAACTCAATAGCTATACCAGATAATAAGAGGTTAACTGAACCACGCCAGTACTATATTTGTGAACATCATATAAACACACTTGCTACTTGTCTGCTATTTGTCAGTACTAATCAGTTCAGCTAAATACATAAGCTAACACATTGGGTACAAACACAAACAACAAATTACATTTATCTAACACAACTGGTTTCAGTGACCTGACTAAAGGGTCCCATTTACCTGATACAATAACAGTCTAATTGGGTTCAAATCCCTAGGTAAGAGCTGCAATTTATCTTTCAACTTGGGTTCAAATTCTACGGTAAAAGCTTCCAATTTATCTGACACACACCTCTGATCTACCCTAATGGTACATGGCTCGTTGTACAGGCTTGTGACAAACAATCCAAAATCCAGACTCATGGGTTTTGTCACTGTCCGACAATTCAGCCCAGGCCTTGCAGGACTCATGGATACACAAGGGAAGCGTTCAAGTCAGTCACGATTTATCGCTGTCGTGAATTCATCGGGCTAACTGTGGGTCACCTATTGGTAATGCCAGTACAAAACATTACACCGTCCCATAACTGCCCAAGACTCTGACACAGACTTGGTGAAGACTCTTTGGGACGAAGTAAACAGTGTGATAGAACAGACCACATCCATGACTGGAGAGAATTATTCAGCTAGGAGTGAGCGGAGTGTCAGGGTGATTTTCTACCGGGAGGGGAGAAAATGGTGAACTTGTAGTCAGGTTGCAACTGGCACCATCAGTTTGGGAACTCTTTGTTGGCTATTGAGGGAGGAAATGGAGCACATTACGGAATGTTCATAGTGCAGTGATCTCAATTCCTAATGAATCAATTCATTGGTCCCCCGTGTGGGTTCCGGGGCCCTACTATGGGAAAAACAAGAATAGGCCCACTGCCTACCCAAAAGCATGTCATAAGAGTCGACTAATTGGGAGCTTCCTTCGAAGTCGGAGTGCATCTGCCTAAGAGGCAAGGAACCAACAGTCTGCATACAGATTTGTCAAACGGATGCACACGCAACCCTCAGGTTCTGGAACAGGACTGCAGTCCAGAAGTGGACGAATAACCAGAACTTTCCGCCGGAGTTTACAGTCGGTGAACTCGAAGACGAAGAAGAAGAATTCATTGGTTTATAAAAGAATATTTCATAGGCAAATTTTTCGAAACCAGTGTGGGAGTGAGACAGGGTTGCATACTATCCCTTGTATTTGGAACACATCATGATAGAAACACAACAAAAAATGAAATATCTATCCACTGGTGGAAGACAACTATGTAATTTACGTTTTGCAGACGACATTGATCTCGTGGCTGGTTCTGAAGCAATACTCCAGGAACTTACTATAAAATTAGAGACAGTCTGTGGTAAATATGGCATAGAAATTAATGCAAAGAAAAGCAAGGTTCTGGTAAATAGCCATATAATAATCAAGTACCTACCAACATACAGAAAAAAAGGGAAAAAATTTAAGTTGAAAGCTTTAAATACCTCGGCCCCCGCATATGTAACGATGGCAGCTGTACCAAAGACTTGAAGACAAGACTTGATATGGCAACAGCCATGATGTCCCATCTGAATACGATGTGGAAGTGCAAAATTTGTACCACAGTTAAGGTCAACATTTACAAAACACTGGTATTGTCTATTTTGGACTCTCACTGTGGAAATGGAAAGGAGGATTTAAGCTTTTGAATGTAAATGCTATAGACCAGCTGTTCTCAACATGCTGGTCACGAGCCTTTTTTTGGGGGGGTTAAACGACCTTTTTACAGGGGTCGCTGTTGTGTGCTAAATTCACTTTACTGTTCAGTTGTGCCAGAGGTCGGAGGTCGAATGCAAACGGTTCACACGGCTTGAAGTTTTGAGACTAATGTTTCTCGAGGTTAGTGGGTGGCAGCGGCTTCATGGGTTTTGCAAGCCAAGCATGACTAGCTGCTGAGCTGAAGGTCAGTCCATGTCCAGTCAGTGCCCCCAGTCTGTGAGAGAGTTCAGACGTGTGTGATTTTGAGTAGTAATTATGTGAATTATTTTATTCTGGTGAAAGCTTAGATTGTTCATTAGTATTTGATGTATAATTTGGAATGCTCCAATTAAGTGTGTATACTTGGGAGATATTGATAGTTTAGCAGAGTGCGAGGAGATTGTCTTGCTGTGCAGACGCCTAGGGTTGTGCCTGTGTGAAGTAAATTGTCTTTCTGTGCAGATGCCTAGAGGCAGGGAGTGTTCCTCATTGGTGTCTGGTCATCGATAGTGTATCAATGATACTCAGTGATTTAGTCTGAACAGTTCACTGCAGAATTCCTTGGCATTGACTGACTTGCGGCTGTGTACCCAGTCAGTCAAAAATGGACGTGCCTGTTAATGTATTAGATAATCTTGCTGCAGCTGGGTAAGAGAATTGAAGTGTGCTCACTCTTACCACCAGCCTGAAGCAGAGGGTTGGTCAGCGACCGTAGGCGTGGAGCAGCTCCAGCTTGAGAGTGAGGATCGACAGTAAGTAGGGCTGTGAGTTGTGGAGAGCCATTAGAGACTGCTATGAGAAGAGCGAGAGCATATACTAATGGGTATATGTAGAGTATTAGACGGACAGTAGTTCTGTAATCACTAATTCATCCTTATTGTCACAATGTGTTCGTCAATAAAGAGATGATGCACGCTTATAGCGATGACTTTTAACGTATGTATGTTGACGCTGGATTGGTGTTTGTGGGATGATGTGACTATGTGTAACTGTGATCTAAGCACTCTCTGGTAGGGAACCCAATTAGTCATTGGACAGTCGACTTGCGAATTTGTGTATATATATATATATATATACATATTTATTGAAGTTATGAAAGAAAATAATTGTTTGGGGGTCGCCACAACATGAGGGAACTGTATTAAAGGGTCATGGCATTAGAAAGGTTGAGAGCCACTACATAAATAACATAAATAACAAACTAGTAATATTAGACTTTAATTGTCTGGATGTGTTAATAGGAATAAATTCCACAGGGGAGCATGTACAGCAGGGATCTACCAGTCATCAGTAGAAGTTATCCCTCGTCGAAAAACGTTTCGGCCCACGAGCTCCTAGACGTTTTCAGAGAGTGGGCCCACCTGAGTTCATGAAGCTCAGGGCTGGTTTCCCTGCTGCACGAAATTACCGGATGGTGTTTTCTTTTCACAAATATGTATTTAGCTCGAAACATTACTAGAGTGGTTAGAGTCCATACACTTTGATATCTACTGAGGAAAGCAGAGAATTTACAAATTTGTTCAGAGTATGGGGACGTCACTTCTTTTAAGTAATAACCTACAATAAATTTTTATTGCTTAACATGTCGCCTTCTGTTTTGTTTTCACAGGTGGCCAGAGCATGGCATGTGGATGTTGCAAAATTTCTGATAGAGCATGGAGCTGATGTTAATAAAGGAGATCATTTTGGACGGACACCATTGCATGTTGCTGCAGCTGTAGATTATGTTGAAATGATAAACATGCTAATTGAAAATAATGGTAAGATTGCTGTGCACAGTGATTACTTAGTTTATCAGGTCTGTAATTAAAAGTTCATCAGTTTTTTAAACTAAAGTACTCTGTATATTTATTTGAAAAGGAAAAGGGGGGAGGGGGGTTAATTACCCGGCTTCATGGGGGGGGGGGGGGGGGGGGGGGGGGGGGGGGGAGTAGTGAAGGAAAACGGTAAAGGAAAACTACAATTTGTTGCCCTCAAATGGGGCTGATGGAGCTATTCCTTTACCATTCTGTTTGAATATCTGGATCATCCTTTGCCAGCAGTGCTAGGAACAGTGAAATGTAAACTTTACTGACCCCTGGCCCATTCCACAGCCCCACAATTTTGATGGATCAAGCTATTGCTACCTGAGCACCCCCAAAAGGGGCAGTATGGGAAGAACTTTTCTAGGAGGCTCCTACCAATCCCCACCCCTGGGCAATGACTCAGGGTTACAATCCTCAAATATGACACACGAAATTACCACCCCTTCTACTGCCCCAGTGCCCTCAGTGAGATGGTAGCGCCAACAGAGGGAAACACTGGTCTATACAATACAGTATCACTGCTCCTCTTTAGTTGTAATTACTTGTAGTCACACGGGTACTACTTTTTAAAATTTTAATGCTTGGACCATTCATTGCGGAACTCCTTTCAGACTTAAAGTTGGGAGATAATAGCAAAATATAATTTCAAATTAAAAAAAAAAAATTATTTTCAAGGGATGTGAGAGAAGGGATAATCAAAGAGATATAACTCCAGCGAATGTTAACTTTTGGTGATTGTAATGGTAATTATCAAAAATTTACATTAACATAGCTAGTAATATCACTGTTAAACTCGACACTTCAGCCAAAATTGCATATTCAAATTTCATCCATGTACTGGTCACCAACTAGATCTATAAAATACCTCAAAACTCGTTGACCTGGCCATCAGCGTATAAGAGACGCCATAATAACCCCCCCCCCCCACCCCCCCCCCCCCCCCCACCCCCCCCCCCCCCCCCCCCGCTGCCTTGCAGAGTATGTCTCTTTAGACAAAGGCTATTGGAGTTCAACCATAAACAAACCGGTGGAAGGTAAGGGGAAACCACCGCTGTTTTTCCCCAGTAAATAGTGCCTCTAAACCATCGTATTCATGGAAAGGTGTCAGCACACGAACTGATACACGCAGTTGCTGATCACAGATTGTGGAGAGGCATGATCGCCTACACCATTAGGCAAGGCGCTTGATGATGACTGGTCACCATTTGGGAGGAGTAATTAATTAGCTGACCAAAAATGGACAGACAGAATATGGATTTTGTGTTTTATACTATAGATTATATTCAGAAAGAAATTTTAAAATATAGATAAGTAAATTAAAATAATTTTTTTAGGGACCTGTGCAAAATGGTAGGAATACCCGCCTGTTTATAACCCATTTATTAAAGCAATCATGGGGGGGGGGGGGGGGGGAAGTTGAGCTACATTATTCTGTTTCTAAGGAATATAAATATAATAATATTGTAATGATATTGTATTTGCTTGCTGTGAATAAATCCTGGATTTAAAGTTTTTTAAAATTTAATGGTCTGAGATTTAAAAAAAAAAAGTTTATTGTGTACATCTTTCAAAATGTATATAAAGATGACTTAGTTGTATTTGTTTAATGTCAGTTGAATTTTTGGTTTCACAGTTGTTTTACTTAAATTATAGTTAAAAATATTTAATAAAAAGCCATCAGTAGGTGGGTGTTGTGGAACTGCACCTACTATAATTTTATAAATTTGTAGAAAGATGTTCTAAAATCTTTAGAGCACTAAAATCAGTATTAACTCTTATTGAATACAAACAGTGGCATTGTGGTGATAGGATGTCTGTGGATTGCCTACCTCCCCAGGTAGTAGCCAGAAATGTGCTGTACCAGTTCAGAAAGGAAATATAGGTTGTGTTTCTGCCTTCCCCTTTGACACGTAGCTAAGGTGGGGTTGACATTGTGCTCATTCCTTGCCACCAAGTTGCCTGCTGTTTCCACTGAGCTCTCCATGGCTCTAAGCATGGCCTGAGCAGGTGGATCGTCACGTCCTGAGTCCCTATGCCTTCACGATAATTTATGGTATTCAGGGGGGGGGGGGGGGGGGGGGGGGGAGGGTAAGCATACTTGTTTCCACTCCTGTTCAGCATCCCTCTGGCTCCTCCTCTCCCACAGGGGTCAGTACAGTATGATGCACCGTGTTTATTATCGAGGGTTGCTCCTCTTTGTCTCTTGTGTTTTGCCTGGGGATTTGCACTCTTAGTTACCAGAACTATTTCGGGGAAGGTGTGGCTCTTCGCCACACACAGTGGTCTTTGTTTAAGAGAGATTATGCTATTTCAGGAGGCTGACACCCTAATGGACACTCCTTTCGTGAACAGATATTCACTAGACCTAATTTAGAAGAAAAAAAAAAGTTCCTGCTAGAGAATCTGTCCCAGGGCTGCCAAGTGTAGGCTGGTCAACCTTCAGGGTGAGGCAGGGGGCAGAACTAGTGCTTTCCCAATATCTCCCCCAGGATGACGTCACAGGACAGTCCAATATTTTTTAGGGTGGTAAGAGCGTGTTTCCTGGCTTTCAGATGCTTTTAACTACTCAAAACATCTAGAACTGGGCCTAATTCCAACCCACCTATGTCCCACGAGAGAGTTCAGCCTAAGTTCCACGACTGCATGTAGCCTAGGTCCTACAACTGCATGCAGCCTGTCTACCGCCCCCTAAAATATTTGACTGTCTGTCTGGAGGTGAGGGGGGGGGGGGGGAGGAAGATATAGGAATAGAACCACAGAACTTTGGCATTTCTCACCATCCAAGAGACTTCCATAAATGCAGAGCTGACGCATGGTGATCTGGTCTTGGGCTCAGGAATTTTCATGTCGTCCTGCACATGACTGCTTAACCTCACCTTTAATGTAGTTGCATCAGGACACTTAGCGCAACAGATATGAAAAGCGTGCATTCATTATGGCACCCCCTCCCCACCCTTTATGGTCCATTTGAAACTTTCGTTGCCACAGTAGGACAGTTTATGGTCAGACATCTGAACATTGTCACACATTCGGACATTTGACGGTCAGACTTTTCATCTCAACAATCAGATGAATGGGACTATTAGTAGCAGACACTGAAACATTGTTTGCCACACAGTAGGAGATTCGAGGGTGGGACATCTGAAACTTAGCTATTATGCTATAGGGCACTTGCAAGGTTAAATTTGAGCCTAAGTAGTCGACATACATTTGAACCAAGGTTTGTCATTTAGTAGAATATTCAGCTATCAAGCTTCACTTATGTTCCAAGTGAGATTTCAATGGATGGTATCATCCATGCACAAGGGTGGGCTGAGTTCTGAGCACTGCATCTCTTGGGCCACCAGCTCTGAGATGCCCTGCCAGCTCAGTTTAGGATGATATAAGCCATTATCTGTAGTGACGTTGAGATCATTTGTCAGGAGTTTTGCATAAGAATATGTAAAACCAGCACAGAACCTGATGATTTCTGAGGTGAGGTACGGAGTTACCTTTTTATACACATCACAGCAGCCTTAACTTTCCCTCATGACTGTCACTGAAATCACTGCACTAAATCTACCCATTGTAAAATGATTAATTTTGCTCTTTATCAACAGCTGACAAAGAAGCAACAACTGTGGATGAAAATCAAACTCCTGTTTTTTATGCTGCAAAAACTGATGCCGTTCAAGCATTAAAGGCACTGATCCTCAAACATGGTTGCTTATACAAGACTATAGTAGATTATAAAGGCAGGACTCCCATCCATGTGGCAGCAGAATTAGGTACACAGCTTGTAGAAACTGTCTTATCTTTATGTATGTATTCATTTGTGTATGCACCAGTGTACATAAATATTTGTATTAGTGTGTCCCCAAACATATACACACATGCCTGAGATGTGGTGAGCAAGTTTGTACACTGCTGTCATCTCTCATGCAATTCTAAGACTGTGTCAGCTTCTGTGTATACTGTTTCTGTTTTCATTGACAAGCTAGAGATGCCATTTCATCAATTTCAAGTTACATTTACGTGTTGCAGTCTTGACTCACAGCAATCTTGACTCACAGAAGCTTTCTATCTTTTGTTGTTTGGACTAAGTTGGTATCATCATCATCAACCCATGCTGATTAGCATAGGGGGTAATGATTAGTTGTCTTAAATGATGATCATCTCTGATTAAGTTCATATTCTAGTTTTGCTTTTACCATGTAGTCAGGTCATCAAGGCTGTGATCTCTTTGTCTTCACCTTGCTTATTTCACCATCAATTTGTCAGATGTCATTAATTTTTTCGAGTTTATGAATCTTTATAAAATAACCAAAAAATCTTGACTGCATCTAATTTCTCCAATGTTTATGATTTTCATTTGTTTCTTGGCCTCATCTTTCCCTGACTATTTACATTATTCTTTGCATTTTCCTCAGAAACAACATTTCCTCTCTCTTATATTTGTATATGTTACCCACTTGTTTAAGCACTTAGCATATATCTCTCTGTCTTCCTCTACCTTACTTGTGCAATATTGTCTCAGATTAGTGGCGACATGTGAGCAGTTTACATGTGCAGGCATTATCAGGTAACATTTTCACTGGAGACTGTATCACATGATTTGTTTCCCCCTCCTATACGCTTGGCTGTTGAGAGTAGGCCTGTTTAACTGATAGCTTTTACACATTATAGTTTCTGCATGAATGGCATGAACTTATGGGGAGCATTCTTTTTGCTGTGTAAATACCTTTAACAAGCTTTAGCTGCTCAGTGAGATGTTAAGCAAGTGCTGTATTTGTGATAAATAGAAAACAGCAGTAATAAATAGTAAAATTATTTTTCTTTGGCAGTGGAAAGTGTAAGCTGCAATTACAGCCATTATATGTATACCTCACCACTGTCTCAAATAAGGCAAATTGTTTTGATCCACCTCTTGTGTTGGTATATCAGTACATTTCATTTAACTTTTCATTCTAGTGACCTCAGAAAATTGGGTGACCTTGTTGTTCTGAATACATCATACACATTTATATATACGTGTGTGTGTGTGTGTATATATATATATATATATATATATATATATATATATATATATATATATATATATATATATATATATATATATATATATATATATACATATATCATCATCATCATCAGGTGCCTTGCCGACTGGCGTGGGCGATCATGCCTCTCCTTAATCTGCGATCTCCTGCAGCATGTATCAGTTCGTGTGCCGACACACCTCCATGCCATGCAACAAGACTGTCAAGCATCTTCTCTCATTGTCTTCATCTATCCCTTTTTTCCACAGATCTTTCCAGTGGTCACAATATGTTCTATTTTCCCTCTTCTCATAACATGGCTGAAAAATGATGACTGTCTCCTTCTGATGTCTGTGATAAGTTGTCTTCGGGCTCCCGCCTCTTTCAAAACCTCTTGGTTGCTCTTTTTGGCTGTCCAAGGTATTCTAAGCATTCTTCTGTAAAACCACATCTCTGAGGCCTCTAAAAATTGTTTGGCCTGCCTACCGATTGTCCAGGATTCACATCCATATGTTAAAACTGGATGTATGTAGCAAGCAAGAATTCTTTTTCTAACTCTCAATGACAAGGATATATTGCACAAGATGTTTTTCATTTTATAAAATGCAGTTTTTGCCTGTCCAATTCTGTTTCTTATTTCAGTTATGCATCTTCCATCTGATGTTATCCATGTGCCCAGATACTTAAATTTCTGTACTTGTCCTAAAATAACACCATTGACTTTTATTACACATTTAGGAATAATGTGACTCATGAGACTTATTGTGCGATGGTCTCCACATTTTAAAGTGCCTGGTTTCTTTGGCAGAGCTATAAAAATGGATTTTAAAAGGTCATTTGGAATATACCAACTATTATAAATATCATTTAAAAGTTTAGTTATTATTTCAATTCCAAAATTTCCCAGTGCTTCGATTTCTTCCAGTGAGATGTTGTCTGGCCCGGGTGCTTTTCCTTTCTTCATATGATGTATTGCATCTCAACTTCTGTAGTCATTATTGGTGGACCATCATTGTTGGTCTACAGTTCTACGTTTGGTCTATTATCATCATACAATTCCCCTATATACTCTGTCCATTTGTTAATTATATTACTGTGTCCCATTAATAAGTCACCATATTTTGATTTCAAACATCCAGGGCTGTTACGTGTCATCTTTCCTGTTAATATATTTATCTGTTGGTACATGGAATGTGAGTCTTTCCTGTGATTTTTCCCAATCTCTGTACACATTTGATTCCGCCAGGCTTCTTTAGCCACTTTGCATTTGTTCACTATTTCTTTTTGTATTCTAGAGTATTCTTCTTTATCATTCTTTTTCTTCCTTCTTTCATCCATCAACTGCAGAATTTCAGTTGACATCCATTTCTTTTTTGTAACTCTATGGGTTGGTGAGATTGTCTCTTTTGATGTTTGCTGAATTGACTCATGCAACATATCCCACTGTTCATCAATAGTCTGTATAATTTCTATTGCATTATACCGGTTTTGTACAGTGACATTGTACTGTTCCTTAATTTCTTTATCCGTTCTAAGAATTCCTAAATTTAACTTGATGTTCTGTGGTGCTTTTCTAATGTTCTTTAGTTTTATTCTAATTTTTATATTGTGTGTGTGTGTGTGTGTGTGTGTGTGTGTGTGTACACACACACACACACACACACACACACACACACACACACACACGCACGCACGCACGCACGCACGCACGCACGCACGCACGCACGCACGCACGCACGCACGCACGCACGCACGCACGCACGCACGCACGCACGCACGCACGCACGCACGCACGCACGCACGCACGCACGCACGCACGCACGCACGCACGCACGCACGCACGCACGCACGCACGTGTGTGTGTGTGTGTGTGTGTGTGTGTGTGTGTGTATATATATATATTTTTATATATATATATATATATACATACATACATATGGCGATGGCAAGTGTGACTAGCAAGCCCCGCCTGTGTCAAGAAAAGTCTTCCACAAGCTTTTTTTAATGTTCATTGAAACGTATCTCCTCAACAGTTAGTTATATGTGCCATATGATAAAAGTATAAAGGTGTGGTCAGGAATGAGCTTTGTACATTAAAAAAAAAAAAGGAGAGATTCAGCAAAGTGAAATTCACAGTTGATGAGAAAATGAGTAAGATAAGATGCACAGGCATTGCCAGTGTTAACTCTTTCATTCCCAGAAGGTTTTTGCTGCAGGTAACCAGTAACATAACTAACTACTTAGAAAAATTACAAGTACATTACTTGCAGACAGGCTTGATACACAAAGTGGCCACACACTATGCATTCAAATACACTGTGTCAACACACAGAGACAATTTGTAGATGAACACAGATAAACACTAGCACAAATGAGCTTATTCACATTGTGTGCATTTTTGTTTTGTTTACCTGTTTCCTATCAAGCATAGCAAGCTCTCCTAAGATTTTTCTTCTGGCAGTAATTTTTGAAGCAATGCTCACCACTCTGACTGATGCATGCTGGTTCCACTTTTCTAAGCATGCTTTGTGAGTTTGATGCATCATGACATATATTTGCAATTGGTTCTCTAGCCAGTGAAGAAACTGTTGTCATGCCTTCATTCTAAAACTTTGTTTTACAAAGGGTCGTCCAATTACTTTTACAATAAACCCTTATGCACTTTTTTTTTGCCTTTCAACCCAGAGGCATCTTTATAGATAATCACATCACCTAGGCGGGAATTGTTCACTAAGAATTATTGTGGTAATATACTAGTTTTCACTGCAGAATAATTTAATTTATGTTATTTTAACACTGAATTTTGCTGTTAGCTTTAGTACCTGGAAATTAAATAATTTAATTGTATCCCGGTATCAACAGAAAGCCAGTTCTACTGTGTTATTGAAAAGATAATATTTTCATAACAAATATCTTCGGATAATCTTTCCACAAATTTGCAGATCGCAGTGAAACTGCTCGCCTTCTGTTAGAGTGTGAGGCTCCTGTTTACCTGAGTGACAATCAGGGTTCAAGAGCAATTACTTGGATCATAAGCAAGATGGCACCAGTGGTTTGTAACTCTGTTTACTTAGTTTCAGACAGTTTAGTGCAGATCTTAAAACCCCAAAGTTGTGTAGCTTTGTTTACTTACTTTTAGACAGTTCAGTGCAGATCTTTAAACCCCAGTGTTGTGTAGCTCTGTTTACTTACTTTTAGACAGTTCAGTGCAGATCTTTAAACCCCAGTGTTGTGTAGCTCTGTTTACTTACTTTCAGACAGTTTAGTGCAGATCTTAAAACCCCAGTGTTGTGTAGCTCTGTTTACTTACTTTCAGACAGTTTAGTGCAGATCTTAAAACCCCAGTGTTGTGTAGCTCTGTTTACTTACTTTCAGACAGTTTAGTGCAGATCTTAAAACCCCAGTGTTGTGTAGCTCTGCAGCCTCATGAGGAATAATATCCAGCAATTCTAAAATGAATTTCAAGTTATTTTGTCTCTCAGTATCCCAAAAAATATTTATAAATATGTCAATAACTTCCATTAAGCAAATAATTTTCTTAGCAATTTTAGTAAACCTTCATGTAAAAAAGGGCCTGGTTGCCAACTAACCCTGGTGGATTCTTCAGACATTTGAGACCTTGTGAGAATCTGTTTTGAGGTTGTGTTCAGGTGACAGAAACAAGAGAGTTGATATGCTAGCTTCAAAGGCCCCTACACTGGTGTATCATATCACTGTCTCAAAGAAGATGGGTGAATGGGAAATGCTGTGAACAATGAAAGCCAGCTGGGCGACATATCTATTGATTAATCTTTTTTATTACAGCTGTTGCATTGAGCATGTTGAGCAAAACTACCTGTGTGGGTTCCTGGGCCATATTGTGGGGAAAACAAGAATAGACTCACTGCCTCTCCAACAAGCATGTTGTAAGGGTCGACTAATTGAGGGTTTCCTTTGAAGTCAGAGTGCATCTGCCTGAGAGGCAAGGAACCAACAGTCTGCATACAAGGTCAGATCTATAAAATGCACATGCATCAACACTCATGTTCTGGAACAAGTCTACAATCCAGAGGTGGATGAACAACCATAACTTTCTGCCAGAGAAGAAAAAGATATTGGGCAAAAGCTCCAAATTTGTATAGACTGCATTAGATGGGAGATATCAACATCATGACAATCAACTTTGCATCCAAGGGCATTTCTTTGTACTCATTTTAGACTAGGTCTTACGGGAAGCCTGGGTCATTTTGTAAAATCTGTCTCAATGTGAATTTGTGTATTTGAACCACCAGGCCAGAAGGACTATGAAAAAAACTTTGAGAGTATTAACAGAGAATCTTTGTCTAAATTGGTGAGGCACCGTGAGATCCTATAATTATTAACTTAACTCTTTAAGGACGGCATGTTTTCTGGGGTTTGGACAGCATTAATTTTGAGCCGAATTTTTTACAGCAACATGTCAAAGCTAAAACTGTCCTGTTAAAAAACTACTGGCTGTATAGTGCCATGTAATACATCAAATTAAAGAGAAATGAATGCAGAATGCATGTAAACTATCTAAAGATCAGTATTGCAACAATATCATATTAAAATAACACAATATTCGATGATGTTAGGCGAACAGGAATTTTTTTTTTTGGTAAGAAATATTATGTTTACCTCACTTTTTTTCTGGATCAAAAACACTTCTCTTCATTCTTAAGAATTCACATGCCTTCTCCATTCAAATATGTATCAGCTAGCTTTTATTTGAGACAATTATCCTGAATACTTCTCACTTTATGACAATTCTTATGTGACATGTAAAATTTTAGAATAACCGAATGAAAAGGAAAACTGAATTACTGAATTTTGTAACAGCAATATTACAAAGCTAAAAACATCATGTTGAAAAAGTACTGGCTGTATAGTACCATGTAATACATCAAATTAAAGAGAAATGAATGCAGAATGCATGTAAACTATCTAAAGGTCAGTATCGCAACAATAACATACAACAGTGACACCACATTAGAGGATGTTAGACACACAAAAAATATTTTAGACATGCAATGATGTTCTTACTAGGGCTGTACTGAATATTCGCTTCGTATTCGCTCGGGGCCAAATAGTGGACCTAATAACTATTAGGTATTCGGCCGAATAGTTGTTGTCGGGCCGAATAAAGTAATAGTGGTTACCTTACACCCGTTTCTGCATACACTGTGATGGACTGAAATAACTCTCTCATTAACACAATTGTTGGGTTGCCCAAGTCTGTCGTAGCAGGTCAGCAGTATCAATAAGCAATCCAGTGGTGTTGAATTTTCATCCAGTGGTGCCTGAATTCCAGACCCAGCTGATCGAAACAGGGACGATCTGATCGAAACATTTTCTTCAGCTACATCCCAAGCCATAACGTCTGCAACAGATACTGCACGTGCATTATCATTATTTATAAGGTCAACACTATTGTTGTCACTATCTGGCTCAGATTCATCAACGACAGCAGCAGTATGGGCAGTTCTGTAGGCTTTGTTATTGTTCTGCTTTCCCTTACCCTTACTGTTTAGTCTGGCGGGTTTTGCAGCAGATGGCTGATATTCTTGATCGTCACCATCTACATCATTGTCAGATAATTCCGAATCTAAGTTATCATCACTACTAGAATTATCTTCTTCATCTAACAACTGCTGCATAAGATCTAAATCTTGCATTTTTATCATTCTTTGAGCTCTATCTGCAGTGGATGTTGAAGGGTTGGAAGTTGCCATTTCAGAAAACTCACAAAAAAAATTATTTCACACAGAAAAAATCTAAAACAAATCACAGTGTTGTAAACATACCACGCTAATCTTCGCACTCGAAAGGACTTCCTGTGCTGAATCCTTATTGTTAAAAAACTGGTTCATAAAAGTTTGTTTTCCCCACAAATGGAACCAAATTAGAGTGTCTCTATCACAAGTCATTTAACTGGTTTTTCGTCCGTGAGTAATGGACTTGGAAGACCAATAAACTGGTGATTTGTCCGTAAAGAGTTAATAAAAATATTATGTGGACTCATAAAATGCCAATGAAGCAAACCTCAAAGATACTTTGAAATAAGCACAGAAGTGCAACAATGATGCCTGTTACCTTATTCTTATTGACTATAGACTGAACTATATATAAACACAAAAATAACTACCGGCAGAAATGAAATTCAGTGAACTTGTTGATTTGGACTTGTTGATGACATTGCCTCCTTTTTCTGTCTGTCTTGAAATGCACTTGTTGGAAGTCATATTAAACCCTGTTACCCACGTCTGGAATTCTCAATTTATTTCACACGCTACATTTACAGCATTTACCCAAGTGTCTGTTGACAGTCAATGTTTCCCTAAGCTCTAAAGACAAATGTATATTTTTCCTAGGTCAGTGGTTCTCAGCCTGTGGGTCATGACCCTTTTGTGGGTTGAATGACCTTTCACAGGGGTCGCCAAAGACCATAGAAAAACACATTTTCACTGAAGTTGTGAAGTAGCAATGAAAATAATTGTAAGGTTGGGGGGTCGCCACAGCATGGACTGTATTTAAAGTTTGCCACATTATGAAGGTTGGGAGCCACTGTTTTAGGTGAACAATTGGTTCAGCTGTCTGAGATGAGTTATGTTGAATGGACAAGCGAGATCAGAATGATTGTGACCTTTTTGCAATTTTATTGAAGGCAAATGAGGCACTGAAGCAGCTGTACAGCACTGACAGAGCTAACAGAAAACAGTACTATGCTCTCAATTATCTTGTTCGTGATAAAGGTAACAACTATTTAAAATGTGTAAACACTAGATATATTTCATATTCCAATGCAAACAGTTCTGGAAAATGCATTTCATGTATTTATTATGACACCAGTTCTTCCAGTCTCAAGAAAATTATATATTCAGAATTCTTGGCATTGTAATTAAGAAATAGAAATCTGCCTAAAATAGTTATGATGACGACCAAAGAAATATCTTTACTGAAAGTATTTTTTACAACATCACTGCATAAAGAAGCCCATGTCTAGAATAAATAGTTTGAAACTACTCTGTGAATCTTACTACTATGTAACATTATAGTGGAGACTTAAGGTTATTAGAAACTTGAAGGGGCGGAGCATAGACTAAATTGCAGTGCAGAAAGAATTCTAAGCAAAAATGTGACTATACTTTAAAAAAATATCAGGATAAAGAAAGCATCAAGCAAAGGAGTCGTGGTTGAAATAGTGACAAGCAGCTTTCACTAGGAAAGCCATATTTTAATTAAAACACAGTTATCTTCGGTTATCATTGTTTGCATTTAAACCCGTGTTCATCATCATCAGCTTCAACGTGTTGCATTAAATGTTATAGTAAGGAACAGTTTGCAGCCTAAAGCTTGACTGGCTGTTGTCATTTCCTGTAGATGTAGAATGTCTTGAATACCTCAGTCCATCATCTCTCTGGGTGACCTCTTGTTTTCATGTCACATCTGTTTGTGGCACCTGTGTTAAAGTTTTGGCTGCACATTAAGGAGCTGACCAAATAATCTGAACTTCTGCTTCTCATGCAATGTGTTGTTCCTGCAGTCTATCATTTAATTTCTTATTGTCTCAAATTGTTGTTTCCTCAAGCATCCCATCTAACAGGTGGTAATTGTACTTAGATGAGCCTTTCGTAATTTCAAGAGTGGCATTGGGAGCACAGTCTTGGTATGAGTATGCTGTTTATAATCTGTTTCTTGGCAGTCACACTTTGGTTTTAATATCTTGGTCATGCTATCATTTGGTATATTATTTATCTGTGGCATTTTGTTTCTATTTCTGTTCTGTCACTCTCTGAGAATATATTTGCTAGATATTTAAATTTATTAACTTGCCTCAGACATTTTAAATGTAGCATGCTAGAAATTCTTTAGACTTGCATTATTTCACTTTGAGTTGGAATTATTCTGCATGTTGAACTTAGCCTGTTTATATGGTCTTGTTGCGGTCTTGTTCTATCACACCTTCCACCCCCACCACTGTGGGAAATTTTAGAATGTGTGTCTGTGTGCATGCCTATGTATGTAGGTGTTTGTGTGGGTGTGTGTTTGTCTATCTGTCTCTCTCTCTCTCTCTATATATATATATATATATATATATATATATATATATATATATATATAATATATATATATATATATATATATATATATATATGTGTGTGTGTGTGTGTAAAAGACAGGATTACCAGAGGATTACAGTCTACATAACCTGACTGAGTAAATAAAAAATTGACATAACTGCACTTGGGACTTTCCTGTTCTGCTCCATCTCTTTATTAAGTAGCCAACAAAGAGTCTACATGCTGATAGTAACAGTGGCATCTAATAAAATATCTGCCTATGTTTCCCCCTCAGTATTGAATGTCTTCCAGAACCTCTGCTTAACCCCCCTCCCCCCCTTCCCCCCCCCCCCATAACCTTCCTCCCTCATTACTGCTGAATAAGTCCTTCATGGTATGGATACTCTTTTCTATCACACTGTCCAATTGATCCTAGAGAGCCTTCAGCATGTCTGCTACATCATAAAATAGCTCACTACCCAGAGGAGCAGTGACAGCCAGTCTGTCAGCTTGCTCATTACCCCACACACCTGAATATCATGGGCAGAAAATCCACGACACAGAACATTTAGATCTGGAGAATATTGCAAGAGGTATCATGTATCTGAAGTTACAGAAACTTGTCTCATTGTTTAATGCTAGCTCATCATTATGATAACAATGCTCTCATTCACTGAGGAAAATGTTATTTACTGCTTCAGATAAAGACCCTCTTGGAAAAGCCCAGACACCTGTGAGTATTTATTCTCAAGTCCACAACATACATTAGACATTTCATTGATCATTACATGGATTCACCAAAGTTTGTAGTTTCTCTAACATATTTTGTGAAATGTTAGCAAATTAAATTATTTGTTAATAAGTTAATTATTAGTCTAGCTATGTAAGTTACACACCCCCCCCCCCCACCACAATAAGTGATGTAATTTAATAATGTTAAAAAATATTGACAGCAATATGTTTATTCTTTCTCATAATTAACATAGGGTGTGTTAGTGTACCAGGATCGGGAGTCACATGGGTAAGTAATCATGGGAAGCAGACATTAGTCTGGCTAACGAAGAAAGAGAATTAGAGAGTCACATCGGTGTGTAAATTCTGTAATAGAAGATACTTAAGCATGACTTCCGGTTAAAATGGACGTTAGACAGCGGCGCTGTTCGAAACAGAGGCAATTTTTTGCTTCTGCCGGACGGTGGCCGAAGTATTTTTGCTCCATTTGTAGACTGGATATAGTTTCGTCGCCCAGCTTCTGAGTTGAATGCATGGCGTGACCCTGTGAGCTGCGGATTGCATTTGGAATAATTTTTTCGACTGTGACCAACGTGGTGTGAATTGGAGATTCAGAAAATGGCGTGATGCCGGTCGTCAATGTTGGCGGTGCCCGGATGTGATTACAATTGATCGCGTGGGCAACTGCTGATCTGTTGGCGACAAGTTCTGCTATCATCAATGATGAACTTCATTTCTAATGTTGGACTGTTTGTGTTAGCACTTCGGATGGCTACCATATGCTTTAATGCGAGTGTTGCTAGATATGCTGAGACAGCAGTCTGTCAATCTTTCCACAAGGGACTGTGATAAACATTCTGAGTGTTTTTTCGTTGGCACAGGAGCGGAGCAAAGATGGGGCGACCCGTTTGCTATGAAGCTGAAACTAAGACTACCAGACTACCAGACTACCAGACTTAAGCATGACTTAACACTGTAATGTAATACAGAAAAACTGAAAAATATATGACTGACTTCTGCTTCATTCTGTCTCAGTACTGTAGAGTTATTTATTTTGTCAGGTGCTGATGTTTTATTTCAACAGCTTCACACTGCCGTAACTTTCAAACAGTATGATCTTCTTATGCATCCTGTATTTCGACAGCTGTTGGATAGAATGTGGCACCATTTTGGAAGGTATTAGATATAGCAAATATTGTAAAAACTCTAAATACTGATTTTTTAGTTATTTCACAGCAAGTGCTTGAGAAAAAATATTGATCATTTGATTAATGAATAAAAATGCTCAGTCTTTATCTTTTAATAATTTAAAACATTCTCATGTTAGTAACTGTTCTCTTGATCTGTTTTAATGCTAAATGGTTATTAAATTTGTTTACATGTTTATTACTATAGAAAATTGTACAGTATCTCTCCTTTTTTTTCTACTGTAATTTTTTTTTAAAACTGCACTTGCATTATTGGTAAAGTACAAAGCATACAGTGCATTAAAAACAAACAATAAATAACATTTTTGTTGTCTTATGAGCAGGAAACCTTTACCCACACAGTAAACAATTCCTTTCTTGTCCAGTGCCCAAGCCACAGATTTCTTGCCAATATATAAATTCTGTTACAGCTGCTTAATTTGGCCGGTGCTGAACACTTAGGGAAGGGGTGAGACAGATATACAGTCAGACTGTAAATGGTACCTTTGGAATTTGAACTCTGCACTTGCTGCTGAAATTGGTAACTGAGCACTTATAGGAATGTTTTGAGTGATATGATGTCAGTGCTGAACTCATAATTCTTATGACATCTATCTCTTACGCAGATTAGCCATTAAGTTCATTTGGAAGATTCTAATGTTCTCCTCACTTGTGCCATAGCCATTTACATTAGACCTTGTGTAGCAAAGACTGAAAGTTGAATAAAACATCACTGCTGGGCCATTGAGTTGCTTATCTTCATTGTCTCACTGGACATCCTTCTTTTGTATATGTTTTACTAATGAAATAGTGATGGTTTCTCTGTCATGAAGACTCTTTAACCTGACCTCTTACCACACAGTACTAGGTGGCAGCATGTGCAGTGTCGTTGTCTCATCTTTCTTGTCAAGATCTGCAACTTCTGCCAGTCTCTAATAATAATGATCCACCTTGACTTGAGACTTAACATCTTCCTCACCCTGATGTACTGTCTCTAGCATTATTTTAATTCTCTTATGGTCAAAGCAAGAATATAACCATATCAATCATCAATCAATCATTAAACGGTAGGTCTTTTACAGAATGTTGCTTTCTTCACGGTAGCCCTATGTGCTTTTATAGAATAATTACAAATTAAAGATATCATTATTTTGAACTACCTTTCTGACATTGTTGTTTCTGTAAATATTATTATTGCTGCGATGACCTTTTCTTTTTGCTTAAATGTCTTTATTATTAAGTGTTAACTATATTTTTAAAAATTGTTATTCTCTATTCAAATTTTTTTCAGGTAAAATAACCTGTGTTGCCTATCATCTGGTACATTAAAAAAGGCATTTAATAATTGATGGAGTAATAAGCACCAGTTTTATAAATGAGTTTGCGCTGTGTATCAAATTCTATTTAATAGATGCATCACGGACAGTAAAACAAATCATAATTAAAATGCCTTAAAAGAAATGAGGTCACAAAAACAATTAATTACTCACAACATAGATAGAAAGAGTCAACACGAGTACATTTTGTCAGTGAGAAAATTTGAGGGGAAGACAGGTGGGAGATGATGTCAGTCTGGTATCAAAAAGGAACATCTGTATCCGATGAGCATACTTTGGATCTTTTTTTCAGGCCATGCCGGGGTGGTGGGAATGAACAGGCAGACAGATCGGCTGGATCCGCACCACTGAGTGGTGAACTGATACATGACAAGGCAGATATGGTCAAGGCTCTTTGGGAACAAGCAACGGAATCATTAGAGAAGGAAGATTATTATGGCCTGAAGAGAATGAGGCATCTGGGTGTAATCAGAGGGTCTGGCCAGCTCACTACACTCAGAGGAAAGGCAAGAGGAACTTTGAACCAGATTGTGACCGGTACCATCAGTATTGGAACTCTGCGCTGGCTGCTGAAGATGAGGATGGAGCATGCATGGAAATGCCCCGAGTGCTATGATGTCAATTCTTGACTTAACTCAACTCAACTATCAGACGTTGCTGGCATGTATGAGACAAATGGCTGTATATTTGACAAACATGATGACCAACACCCTGCAGCATGGATCAAATAAGAAGAAGAATAGATGAGTCAATTTTGAATACTTACTTACAGACACAGTTGTACCAATAGATGTCTGTACTTTGTCCTCAGATTCTGGACCTTGTATCAGTTAGGAATCAACTTGGTGTACATTGTCATGTGGACAGTAATTGGTATTGTTGTGGAGTATGACAAGCGACACTCCTACACCATGCCAGATGATATCTGGAGAATTATCTTGTATGTAAGTGGCTGGTTAACATTTGCTTAAAATATCTGTGCAGTATAATTCTTCTTTTTCTTTTTCTTTGCATTCAGTTTCATATGCTCAGATCAGACCATGAGGTAGTTTGCCTCTATGAACTAGCATGTCAGCAGCAGGTCCTTCATGGTTCCTCATAGCTTACTCTGCACACTTTGCACCTGAGGCTAGGTACCTTTTCGAAGTTGTTGGTAGAGTGGGCAGGTCTGCAAAATGTGCTCAGGTGTTTGTGGTCCTGTTTGACAGGCTCACTGTGGGGACTGTACAACCTTTTTTTTATGCATGTTATTTGAGACTGCAGTGTCCTGTTCATAGATCGAAAATTGTTGTATGATGCTTTCTGTTCAGTCTGCTGATGGGGGTCTTGTGGATGTTCACTGTTAGTTTGTTTTCCCTACAATTCCTTGTATTTTCCCTTGATAAGTGTTATGATTTCCGGTAATTATGATGAATGGGTGTGTTGTTTCTCCTTTGTTCCATTTTTTTTTCATGTCTGTCTGCTAACTCATTTCCTGGTATGCCACAGTGAGCTGGAATCCACTGGAGAATGATTTGATTATTTTCTCAGAGTCTGTTTAGCTGGCGGATCAGTTCTCTCTCGATGTTGTCTCATGGATCCCTCTGAGTCGCCTGTAGGACTGACATGGAGTCACTAAGGAAGACAATTTTGCTGTTTTTAAGTTTTCTTTCCCCAAGCACTTTGGCTGAATTATTAATTGCTTGCTGCTGTTCTATGAAGTTTGTTGAGAGTCTTCTGAAGGCGCATGATATTTCTACTGTGGTCCCATTTTGCAGCATGATGACTGATCTGGCTCCTCCATTTTTTCTTCTCCCTACAGTGGTCCACCGGTGTATATGTGTGTCAATTCAGGTCTTGGATAAGAGTTGTAGACATGTTTAAGGGTCTTTGCATGCAGTACTAGGTCACATTCTTCGGCCTTTCTATCTATGCCCGGAATTGTTGTTATGACTGTATAGTTAGGCTGTTGGTCTATGCTGTATGCCTGGATCATTTCCCATGTTGAAGGATCTTTAGAAAGAATGTTACTGTTTTTTGCATAGTAAAGTTTTGATAGATGGTGAAAGCTTTATCTTTTCAGTCAGTTTTTAGTTGTTTGCTCATGTGGGCATGGGGTTGTTGTTCATGTGTTTACAATTTTTCTGTTAGGGTAAGCACCTTTTCTTTCCTTTGAAGGCTCAAGCTCTGGAGGCCAAAAGTTGCCTCCATCTCATTGATATGTGTGTTTTTCATACCTCCAGTGATGATTCTGAGACCAGTATTCTGTATTTTGTCCAGTTTGTATAGATTTGATTTGGCTGCAGTGGAGCATGCTCCCATGCCATACTCCAGTTTTGGTTGTATGTATTCTGTTTGTCGTACAGTGTTGGCATCTGCACCCCAGCTTGTTTCAGTAAGTTTCTTCATAAGTCTGAGCTCTATGGTAGCTTTCCTTTGGGTGTCTTCAATGTGAGAGCTCCAGGTTAGCTTTATATTAAAATTTACTCCCAGATATGTGGTGTTATCCTCTTTTGGAAAGATGTTGCCTTCTAGGTACAGATCATCTTGTTCTAGCTTTGTGGAAAGAAAGAAGAGAGTTTACACAGTTTTGTTCTAGTTTATTGTGACTCCCCAAGAGTCTGCCCATTTCTTAACTGTATTTCCTGCATTTTTACTTTATTTGTTTCATTTTGTTCAGCTTGGGTCCATATGGCCAGGTCATTTGCATGTAGGGCCTTGAATGTGAGTCGTCAGCTGTTTTGGAAGGTCATTTATGAAACGAATAAACAGGGTAGGAGATATAACACCTCCCTGGGGGACACCTTCCTTTAACCTGACCAGCTTGCTCTTGTGTTCTTCAAGTTTGACTCTCGCGCAGCATCTGTAAAGAAAGTCTCTAATTCAGGAAAACATATGCTCTTTTATCCCACTGTGTGTTGATTTTAGCAAGAGTCCTTTTTTCCAGATCTTATCAAAGGCTTTGGTCATGTTGAAGAAAGTAGCTAGCAGTTTGTATTTTTTTTTGGAAAGCATCTTAACTCTTTCAGGCCCATGAATTTTGACAGTCATGGCCCACATTAATTTCCCTTTACAAAAAGGGCAGAGGGGTATGTGTACAAGAACAGCTATAAAGAATGTAATATACTTCTAATCCCTATAAAAGTATATATATATATATATATATATATATATATATATATATATATATATATATATATATATATACTTTAAAAGAGAAATGAATGTTCATTTTGAATCTGATGATAAGTGTTTGTTTAATTTTGTTATAGCTAGTAGGAAAGAAGAATTCAGCAGGTCTTAATTAAACAAGGACAACATTTCACAAGTAAATTCTTCACTTAACAAGGTTTTGCAGCCACAAGAGTAGCGAATATCCAAATTTGAGAATAAAACTTCAAAGTTTTTTTAATTTCCTAACATATTCCAAAGTTTTGATAAGTTTCTATGTTAGTTTAGCACTCAGGAGCTCTTAGTTCTCACAGAGTGCTGAGCAAAATTTCAGAGAAAAAATGGCAGAAAATTGAGCCATTATGCACACACTATTTACTTTGAACAGTTATTTACAGACTTTAGCTGCGATGATTTAAATGTAGCTTAGCCATAGTATAGTACAATCTATTTGTTTAGAGTACTTTCCTTCTCTTACACCATAAATACGGTAGAATGGGACATTGTGTAATAAACTCATCAGAATCGCTAGATTTCAAACAGCTGATCGCCCAGCTTCGCTAGTGAAAATTTACCGTCTGAATCACTTTCCGAAAACCTAAATTTTTATTATCATTATCACAATTAAAAACATCTGACTGAAACCATTTCTGAGCTTTGGCCTCAGAAAGACGCATTCTGCAACCTGTACTTGTGGTTGGAACATTGGTATTCATGGCACTCGAAAATGAACTTAGAAAATGCAATGTTGAAAGAAAATATCGCTGTTATTTCTTTCAAATTATGCATGTGTTTCTTTGGCTAGGAAATGAAACTAAAAGGATTTCGTATCTCCAAACATTAGAAACTAGTACGAAGGCATTTGCGAAGCAAAATGTAAAAAACATGCGATCGACAATGACAGCGTTGTTTGGGCAAAACAGAACTTCTCAAACAACTCTCACACCGTTGCTTGGGCCTTAAAGAGTTAAATTTTCTGTGCGAGATAAGAGGTTTGGTTATCAGTGCTGTATCTCCTGAAGCCTGATTGGCTGTCATCCACTATCTTGTTTTCTTCTAGGAAATTAAGTAACCTGTTGTTCACTAATCTTTCCATGGTCTTTCCAAGGCAGCTTAGGAGGCTTTAGGGGCGGTAAATAAATGTGTTGTTCCTTGGACTTTCCTTTCTTGGCTATGGGGACTATTTCTGCCTCCTTCCATTCCTTAGAAAGTGTCATTGGATCCAGGATTGATTGATAAGGTCAAAAAATCGTTCCTACCAGCTGGTCCCAAGTGTACTATTATTTCATTTGTTATTCAATCAGCTAAAGGTGCTTTCCTTTTCTAAGGTTTCTTAATGCCCATTCAAGTTCTTGGGGACTGAAGAGTTTATTCATTATATCTTGGTTAGTTTCTTGCTTTTTTGTTGGTTTTCCTCAGTTCTCTCATCACTTCTTCTTCTCTTCCTCTAGACACAAAGATTTTGCTTTTCTCTGCAAAACTGTCAGCCAGCAGGTTTGCTGCTTGTTTACCAATGAAAGTTTTCCCACCATCTTCAATGACAGTGTTGGCATGGCTGGTATTTTTCTCCTCATTGAGACTCTTTACTAGATGCCAGAGCTTTTTTTTCCATCTTTCTTCATGTTGAGAGCTGCAGTCTTTTCTTGCCATCTTGTCCGGATGCATGTGAGTTTTTCTCTTCTGATGTGTTCTGTTACATTGCGGTCAGAGGGATCTTGTCAATTTTTACTCTTGCTTCAGTATTTCTTTGGTGCAGTTGTTGTAGTTCTTAGGTCCAGAAGGGTTCATAGTTTTACCTTTGAGCTAGGAGGATTGATTTTTGTGCTGCTTCGAGTATGATACTGGTAAAAGTTATGGTGTTTTTTGTAACTTCATTAGTGGAAAAGGGCACAGATAGCTTCTTTTCAGTTAAGTTTTAGTAATTTAGTCTTGTAATTCCAGCTGGTTATCTTCTTCCTGCTTTCTGGTGGTTTGACCTCTCCTATCATGATGATGACTGGTTTGTGATCACTTCCTTCCAGCTGTTTCATCACTTCTCTGTCTGCCCTTCATTGAATGTTTTCTGTAGCTATAGATAGGTCTGATGTACTCTGTGTTCGCCATCGTCTAGAGTAGAAGGTTGGTTCAGAGTCATGTTCATTGATTAGTATCAGCAGGTTTTCTTTCATCCATTCCTATACCTCTTCTCCTCTTGTGTCCATAGAGGCATAGCCCCAAGTAAGAGAATGACTGTTGAAGTCACTGAGAATTAGGTGGCTCTTATCAGCTACTGGGATGTCCTCTAGTTCTAATTTCTTGTTGTTGGGACAGTAAAAGTTAGTGACAAATAGTGGCTCTTGAAGGATATGTAGTTTTACTGTCACTGATGCTTCTGGAAGTTTCTATGGCTGCAGTAGTGTTTTAAATCACTGTAATGATGCCTACTTTGTGGCCATCTTTGTCTAGCCTATATGTTTCATAGCCTCTGACAGCAAAGTGAGAACCTGTATTTAAATGGGTTTCATGAAAGCAGACAACATCAATCTTTTGTTCATTGATGAATTTTTTCAGTTTGAGCTTTTTCATCATGACCCCTTCTGCATTCCATTGCATTATCTTTAGTTAGTTAGTCTTTCCTCTTGTGTCGAGTGCGGCACATAGGGCAGAGGTCGTGACTCTCCATGCACGGCGGTCCGTTGCAATCCGTTGTAGGTCTTGGATGTTTGAGTGGCCCATGAGCGAGCCTTCCCTGATGATAGTTCTACGTAGGGTTTCCCTTGGTCTTCCACGAGATCTTTAGTGCTTTAGTATTATTTTGGCCAGACAAATTACTGCTTAATCCTGGTCCACCGATGATGATGATGCATTCTGGTCCACTGTTGTTAAAGTGCCCAAAGTGAAAATAAAGTGATTTTCAAGAGACCTGTGGACTCTGTCGCCGGAATGGCTAGATTTGATGGCTGTCACCTGCATGTCGTTGACACCTTGCCGATCCTGGGAATTGAAGTGTAATGGTACTGGTTTCAAGGCACCATTCTGCACATCCAAAAGATGTTGTCTAAACCTGTCAGCCAGTCATAGACCTGTTTCACCGATGTACAACAGGTAGCACCATGTGTAGGTACGGTTGACTTTATTGGCAGAAGCTATGATTTCCGCGCAGGCATTTCACATTTGTTAGGTGAGATCTGTACATATCAATCCTTACTACCCAAAAAAATATAATTCATATGAGGAAACCTATATATTTATTTATATATTCCTAAAAAATGATCCAAGAAACATTTACATTACAGAAAAAACTTTCAAGCTGATAGAAGAAAGAACAAATTTAAAGCAAGTAGGGACAGAAACAAATAGCCATGCATATAGGAACTACAGGAAAGAAATCAAATGAGCTATCAGAGGAGATAAAAAACAGTTTATTATCAATACCTGTAATAGAATTGAACTACTCCAGATGCAAAGAAGAGACAGAGACATGTTTAAAGAAATTAAAACATTGAAAGGCCTTCTTTTCATGTTAAAAGTGATAAAAACGATAACACATTAATGGAAACCAAAGACATATTAGAAAGATGGAAAGAATACTGTAGAGAAATGTCTGAGGTTCTGACAAGTAATTCAAAAAACAACTTATGAAAGTTATGAAAAAGAACCAGAGCCTTTACTGGATGAGGTACGATCAGCAGTACACAGCCTGAAGAAAGGAAAGTCACCAGGTTGCAACGAAATACCAGCAGAACTAATTAAAGCAGGAGGAGAGGCCAGCGTCCGAATCTACCATGCACAGTGCACGAAGATCTGGAACAGTGGCATTTGGCCTAAAGCATGGAAAAGAACAATCTATATCCCTCTCCCAAAGAAAAAATTAGAAATCTTTATCATGAACTACAAGCAGCCATCAGAGTGAGGGGGTGAGGCAGGGGTGCATTCTCTCACCATAACTATTCAATATATACGCAGAAAATATAATGAGAAATATAAAAAATGACCAGACTTGTGACAGTTATGATCCCCTCAAAATTGGTGGTGACCCTATTCCGGAACTTTGCTACGCAGATGACACAGTCCTCTTTTCGAACAGCGTAAAGGGAATAGAAAATTTAACATTGTCTGTCCAAAAGCACTGTGAAGATCAAAGTCAGTTCTTGAATTTAAGGAAAACAAAAATAATTGCCACAGATAAAACTGGTTGTCACCCAAAAATAACAATAAATGATGAAGAAATTAAAAATGTCACAAACTTTGAATACTAGGCTCTGTAATAAACAGCAATGGAGACTGTTTGACTGAAATTACAAGGAGGATGGCTATAGCAATGCAAAAATTGAACAGCCACTAAAGTCTATGGTTAAGCACCAGCAAGGAAATTTAGAATTTTGAGAGCATGCATCTTCTCTTTGGCAACATACGGATATGAGTCGTGGACTATCTCCCAGTTCTTAAGAAAGAGAATAGGGGGCTTTTGAGCTGAAATGCTAAAGAAAGATTCTCAGAATATCTTGGACAAAGAAGAGGAGAAATACTGACATCTGTAAAGATCTGAACATCAAGGAAGATTGGCTAATAAACAGCATTCCGTTTCGGAAGCTGAAATATTTTGGTCATATCAAGCGACACAACGGATTGGAAAAATTATAGCAGAAGGCATGGTACCAGGAAGGAGAGGCACGACACGAAGATGGGCACATGATATAAGTGACTCCTTGTGTATGAAATAAAAGTACATGAGGCAGGAGAGCTGGCAAGAGACCGAGTATTTTTCAGGCAGACCGTGATGAGAGCGACATTCTGCAAAGGACCTACTACATGATGATGATGATATATATATATAAATATATATTCACACATATTGTGTGATACAGCTAAGAAACAACTATATTCTTAAATGCTGGGATATTGCAGACAATTGGCAATAAACACGTATGATAAAAAATGTACAGAAGCATGTGATGTGATATCAAGACTACATTATAAGCCAGCTGGTTGACAGTTGAACAATTTCTGGAAAATAGACTAAGCTCATACTTCAAAAAGTATTGAGAAAAACAAAAAGACTAATCCTTTTGATATACACTTAGGCATCGATTTGATTTGATTTGATTGATTTTATTCAAGAACCGACATCACAGCACTCGGGGCATTCCCTTAAGCGCTCCGTCCCTATCTTCAGCAGCCAGCGAAGAGTTCCGATACTAATGGTGCCAGTAGCACTCTGATTAAACATCCGTCTTGCCTTTCCTCTGAGCCTCGAGCATCTGCCAGAACCTCTCTTCGCTCTCCCCTGCATCAGTCTCACCAGACCGTGGTGATCCATCTGCTCTCCTGAACTGTACACACTCTCCCACAAGGCACTAACCATATCTGACTTAGACATCAAGAGACGCCAAAGAAACCATTACTAGTAGGGAAATTATTGGGGGCAAAAGGGAAGGAAAAGAACAAGGACAGTATTTATGCAATAAGCATGCACAGAACACTCAACACATACATGAATTTAAGGGAAATGGCAGAAGCAGACAACTGTGAAATGGAATGTTCAAGAAGCTTCACAGCCAGCCAAAGTACACTGTGTTTGTGTGTGAGCATGTGTGCGTGCATGCATATGTGTGCATGCCTGTGCACATATCAACATACTAACACAATCGTTTTATGTTTTCTTGTCTTGTGTGTGTGTAAATAATTGCAAACTGATATTCCGAATAGATTTTATGTTTCCTGTGATTGTTTGGCTATTATTTTTAATCATATTATGTAAATAGTACATACACTATTTTATTCAATTTTATTTCAGATAATAGCAGTAGCATTTACAGTTTATCAAATATTTGAAGAGGTCATGGAATTCAGAAGGTCTCAAAAGATGCACTCGGTAACATGCTTTTTTGAAAGAAAAAAAATTAACCTGCTAATTATTTGACACAAATAATAATATGAGTATTTTGATTGTTGAAAAATAGCATGAGAAATTAATTCACAGGTATCAATTAGCACTCATTGAAGTTGAGGGAAGGACAAGAGATTAGAGAAGACAACAGAACAAAAGCTGTAGTGATCAAACCAAGATTTGGACCTGCCATCTACAAATGATGACAACGTTATGCTGTTGGAACAAGTGTACTTTGATGTATGGCCAGCTAGACACCTTTACAACAACAACATTGTGTTCATTAGCTTAGTCTGTCATACTCTTGAATCCACAACTAGGAGTTTTAAAATGCTCTTTATTTAAAAAGAATTCAAATTTAACCATTGAAATGGCACTGTGGGTTTCATAAATATATATTGACCAAGTAACATGTTACATAACAGGCACACAAAACATTATGCTAGGTCTGGTATATTATGAATATTTGTTTTATTTTAATTGAAAAAAATTATACTACTATAGCATAACATGGGTACCTGGAGAAAGTTATGAGAGCTGGAAAATCAAGGGTTTTAGAGACAGAAGTCAACACAGGTAAAACATTCTGGTTGGGTTGGCAGATTGGGACAGTAGTAGTCACATATTTATAAAACACAGGTGACAGCTGTTTGTAGAGAAATATTGCTATGCTACCTCACATGGCACAAAATAATAATGATTATAACATCAACTCTTCATTTTCTCCATTATGTTGCTGGTTTGATATTTTGTTTGCAGTCAAACTCTCCCTCTTTATATATATATATAAAATAACTTGATCACATGTAATAAGGGGCACTGAAGGGCACTAATAACAGATTACCCTGTATCATGAAGGTAAGCTAATTGTAACAGTTTGAGAATAAAGAATCTTTAGTCTTTTCCCAAATATTAAAACATTGTAGGCCATATAGAACAAAAATTAGTATTATGTTTATGATAAGGTCACCCATCCATTTAAGATTTGTGACCTGCTTCTGAACATTTCTTGGGCAGAATAATGTTGTTTTCCTCTTACCTTCAACATCCACATTATTTTTGACCTGTCATTTTCACACGAAATATCTGCTGTCAGGAAAAGTGAATGCCCTGCTCTGCCTAGGTGCAGGGTTGACTGCTTAATCTAACCTATGCTCTGTCCCCTGAATTGCATTTCTCACATTTGTGTGAGTTTCCCATCCTTTCAAAAAAGTAAAGTTGGGAGTTTCCCCTACATCAAGCTTAGAATGAGATAGTTTGTCTCACTGTCCAGTACTTGAGAGCATTTGCCTATGTGCTGGTCAAAACAGCATTTTGGAGTGCACCATTTGTCTTCTTCTTTTTTTTGTCTTCTCACAGATACCTGGTTGTAGCCCAGTGTCGTGGTTTTTTTATTGGGGGAAGGGGGGGGGAGGTTTATCTCATACTTCTTGGGTGGCTTGAGTGGTGTATTTGTTCATCTTTTTGCAGGTTTCAGCTTCATCATTTGTCCATATCATTCTTGGTCTTCTATTTGCCATCCTGCCAGATGTTCTACTATAAAAAGTGTCATGTGCAGTCTAGTCTGGCTGCACCATTTATCAGTTATATAAAAATACACTTTAGTCCTGATCTAGAAATATGTCCGTCTGCTGCTAACTGACTGCTTCACTCTCGCTCTGATTATTTTGGCCCATTTTAGGTTTTCTTACTTCAATTCTAAAAATAACAAGCAAATATATCAGTTGAGAGCAGATTTTCTCCTATGTCACCTTGAAACTGCATTTTATTGTCTTTGTTATTTTTTCTGTATCATTTATTTTTTTTATATCCAGCAGAGTTAACCATGTGGTATTTCATTTTAAAATGTAATGTACAGAAAATGTATTTGATAATGCATTTGAAATGTTTTTGTTTGTTATTGGAGTACTGGGAAGACACCCGTAAGGTTGACATTCAGATGGATATGAAGTTTTGTCACCCAAGATGGCCAGAGGAGAGAAAGTATTTGGAAATGGAAATTGAAGCCTTGGAGCAACAGAAACCCAAATATTTCCATGACATGTGGTAAGTTTTAGTTTAAAGACAAATATAGAAACTGAGATATAGTCTTATTTGTTGGCAAATTTGTTTTGAATAGTTTGGATCGATCTTTAGTTTATGTGATAAATAATAAATATGTTTTATAATAAATTTGTTTCAAAATAATAATAACACAAATACAAGCATACCGGTTTAGTCTTTGTCTTATTTTTCAGGAACATCTTTGACTGGATCTGTTACATTATGCTTCTTGTCTGCATTGCAACCCATGTGGCTGACATTATTTCACACACAGAAATCTTGGCCCGTTTACACATACGTTTTATGGCAGCGACAATCATCTTGCTGTGGTTGAGGTTGATGAAAAATGCCAGAGCCTTTGCCATATTAGGTAATGATACAAATGTCAAGAAATATTTATGCACTGATTACTATAAAAAAAAATATGTTACCAGTTAACTAGAATCAGCAACACAGTATTCAGAACACACACTTGGTTCTTCCTTCTTGAGTTAATTTAAGAATCAACATCATTGAACTCCACGAGTAGTAACCCATAAGTGCTATGTTCTTCTTCTAACTCAAGTCTGAGTCCAAAGGAGCTCAGCACGGTGCACAGGCTCTGTAGCACCGGCAAGGATCCTGAAATTCTTTGGGTAGATTTTAAACTCTAAACTTAACCCGCGCAGCGCCGTTAGGCTACTCTTTTCTATTTCTAACTGCCAAGAGATTTTTTACGTGCACAACAATCCATACGGGCATCCAATCTTGCTACCCAGAGACCAGGGGGAATAACTAGAAGTCCAAGTCCACGTGAAAAAATCCCAGCCCTTACCAGGGATTGAACCCGGAACCTCTAGCACTCGAGACGGGCACCAAACCTCGAGATTACGCAGCCCTGAGTGTAAACATGGAGAACAGATAAGGCAGTTAATTATAAACTCGGCAGAATAGAGTTAATTAAATGGTAAAACAGAATCCCTAATGTAGAGCTTTGAGACAGAACTAATTAAGTTCCAGTGGACCAAGAGATAAAGAAAAGATGCTGGGGTTGGATAGGACATACCTTGAGAAAGCCTGGAAACAATATAACTATGTATGTCTTTGCCATGGAACCCACAGGAATATAGAGAAAAACAAAGACCCCCCAAAAAAACACTGACAAAGGAGCAAGAGAGCAAAGTTAAAAAGATCAGGAGGACACGAGAGAACTGCATGCGATAGTGAAGGAAAGATAGTTAGTTAGTTAGTTAGTTGGGTTATCATCATTGCACTCCGGACATGTCCATAGGTGCTCAGATCCTCCCCTCAGTATGAATCCCAACGTCCGATGGCTAATAGTACCAGTTCTATGTTGATTAACAAGTCTTCTGACGTGTCCGGTGTGCGTCTCGTTTTTTGCTGTGCCGATCTTAATTCCCAAGTCTGCCATCCTGGCGAGTGATGTGGATTCACTGCCACCAAAGTCCTCTATCCTTCCCATTTCTCTGAGGGCATTGATAATATCAGCATGATCCATAGGCCGACCGTCGGTAGTGATAGCGGATCCAGCCAACCTGTCAGCTCTTTCATTTCCATCGACGCCTGCGTGTCCCGGAACAAAAAGAAAGGTGACTCCTCGCAAGGAAGAAGGAAAGAATGGCTTGGCATGAGTTGGCTGAGGGCCTATGCTCCATTGGGAGGTTAGAAAGGCAGAAGAAGATGAAGAAAAAATCAGTGATATGAGGCTGTGTCTGCTTGGTGGCCATAGGTTTCAACCCCCTGGATTTTTTTAAAAACTGACCAAGACTTCAGACTTCTGCTTCTTCTTCTTTTCCTCCGATTTCTTAGGGTAGAGTTTCAAAGAATGATAATGATGTGTTTCTTGTAAACAATTTTGAACAGGGCAATTTTTAAAAGATTCTTATGGGGTGAAAGGGTTAAGAGAGACGTATCTAGGCTTAGTATCCACTAAAACTACATCTGTTCATCTGTTATCACAGCCACATCCACCTTCACTCATAAGTGTGTAGACCTACTCAACATCAGTCTTTTTTTCTAGGTGCTAGCTGAGAATCTCCAACCAGATACACGCAGTTATCAGTGCATACCATTATATAATTTTTGCATCTATCACTTCCAGTTGTCAGTCATTGGACCTCTAGCTTTGCCAAGCTCTTATGTCACTCTCTGGTTAGATGGTGACTAATGGAAGTTACTTCTGTGTCTGCCAGTGTAAATCTACTAATGTTCCTTGTGTAAATTCTTGACAGAAGAACTACCTGTGTTTTTTCCTTGTAACATCCACAATCTTTTTTTCGTTGTTCATCTGCTTATGAGATCATTTAGTTTATCAAAACAGTGTCGATACCATCATTGGTAATGCTTGACCTAACAAGTGCGGCCTTGATTTAACCGATTTAGTCAAGATTTCTCATGGTTTTCGTGCCAGATCTCATGTACAGCCAAGACAGTCTCCATTGGTTCATCTAGCTTTTCGCACTGTGAAAGAAAATAGTGATATAATATCAAGGTCTCTGTCAGCTACTAAGGGAACTAGATGGTTGAACAGTAAAACTAGCAGTATTCTGTTCCATATGTGTATGCACTATAGTCTTGAATGCTTCTGAACTAAATGTTTTTATTTAATAATAGTCTACTTCATATAATATTTATGGTGGGCTACGATCAAATGTCAATCTTAGATTGTTAGGTTATAAATTACCTGTCCAATTAGAAACAATTCTAGAAAAGTCTGCTTTCCCAGTGGCATTGTTCATTAGGTTCCATAATAATTGGCTCTCCCAAGTAGTGCTATTTAATTTGCCTCTTCACACCACTCTGCTGTTTTTTGCAGTCCCAGGAGTTTAGATTATTATGCATTTTTGAAGCACTTTGATACAGTGAGACATAAGAGTTTACTCTTGCTAGTTTTGCTGTATACATGTTAAACAGCAGCACTAGCAGTTTAATTACACTTATTTGAACTAGTTATAAACCCATCATCATCATGTAGCAGATCCTTTGCGCTCTCATCATGGTCTGCCTGAAAGAAACTCAGTCTCTTGCTAGCTCTCCTGCCTAATTTACTTTCATACTCAAGGAGTCACTTATATTCTGTGCCCATCTTTCTGTTGGTCAGCGCCTGCCTCTCCTTCCTGGTATCATGCCTTCTGCTAATATTTTTTCCAATCTGTCGTGGCGCTTGATGTGACCAAAATATGTCAGCGTCTGAGACAAAGGTCGGTTTTAGATGTTAAATGGACTGTCCTGAATGACCATGGGAGTGATCACCTACCATGTTGAGTCTTGATTTCTAAACTCAGTAAGGTTAAGGTTGGGAGAGCACGCAAGACCTTCCGGTATAAGTGGACCAACAACCTACTTAGACGCCTCAGACGGGGAGCATGCAACAGAACTGGCAGAACTAATTTTTTACAGCCCCCATGGTGGACTGGAGAAGTAGAACAGGCGTGGAAGGCAAAGAGAGCCGCAGTGAAGCGGCTAAAGAAAGTACGACAGACACCCTCAAGCTCATGAGAGGAAGTGGAGATGGCGGATAATGTGAAAAAAGATAAGGTGGAGGTTTTCAAGCGCTGTGCTGCAGAGACCAAAAGAGCAAAGTGGGACACTTTTGTGAATGATATGGGAGGCGATAAAACATTGGGGAAATTCTGGAAACTGCAAAGGCAGATGCAAAGAAAAGATCGGCCTATGACAGTCGAAACAATTTGTAGAGACGATGGTGTGCATGTGACAACAGACAAGGAGAACGGGGAGGCTTTTCTCCATAGGTTTATAGCTCAGACAGATCATAATGATGTAGACATCAGGGATGCAGTTAGAAAGGAGTTAGCTGGCATCTTGAAGAATATGCATTATGAAGACATGATACAAGTGGAAGATATCAAACAAAAAGATATGAAAAAAAAGCAAAAGACACTACACCAGGGCCTGATGGAGTCAGATATGGTCACATGAAGGCTTTGAGCGATGTAGACCTGGCAGAGATGGCCGATGGTTTTAACCAGAGCATTAAGACAGCATCAGTACTGCAGGACTGGGTGCACAGCTATCTAATCCCACTACCAAAACCTTTTAAAGATCATTCTAAACTTAGTGGCTTTAGAATCATCACCTTACAAAACACATTTGGGAAGGTCCTTGGAGAAGATAGTTGCTGTAAAGCTACAAGAGTTTTTTTTAAATGAGGAAGCTTTTCCCAAGAGGTCTTGGAAGCTACAGGCCAGGAAAGGACACTTGGGCAAATGCGGCCACTTTGGCTTTTGACGTCTATGAAGGATTTTCCAGAACAGACAGGAAACTATGGCGGTAGGACTGGATCT